ATTTCCACCAATACATCAAGGCTGCATAGTCGGGAACCAGTGCGTATAATGCACAACATGAATAAACTCTCTGGGGAGTTAATCTATCTTGTTTTGGATTGCTTATTGGGACCTGCTATGCTAATTAAATTGATTTAAGAAAAGGTTATCATAGACAACAGACACTTTAGGGAGAGTTAATAACAGTTATTCTAATGTAACATTCCTGTAGACAAGACCTTTATTTGACAAAAGAAATGTAGTATGGAAAGGAAAATAGCCAAGGACACATCAGGATGGCCAACAAATTAACAGGTATTAAAGAAATTAGTAAGAAATTAGCAGAGTCAAGGACAGCACTTACATTAGTGGGAGCTGTGTTTATTGTGGACTGATAATTGCTGCTTGCTGCATGTTTCAGGGGAGAAACTTGTAATTACATTGATTCTTTAATTCATCACTCATGGTTTGACTAGTCACAGCTACAGAAAACCAAAGTGTATCTGGGTTTCTTCATGTCACATCTTGGAAAGTTTGACTATATGCCATCTGTTTTTACTACGTGGCATCCATAGCCTCTGCGGTAATTAAAAATAAACTAAACAAATAGTTGAAAAACTCAAAGCAAACAATAGTTCAATGCACTTGCTCCTGTTAAGAGGTCAAGAGGAGCAGCAAGCACAAAAGCACCGAATTTTTACTTCTTCAGAGCATGTACCACACTCCTTGATGTCAACTGCAATTCAGACCATGTGCCCAGGGCCCAATACAGAGTGTATGTCTGCAGGCTGAAGTAGACAAGGCTGAGAAAGTACTGGTCTGTACATTTTAGCCATGAAAGATGCTCTCAGCAGCTTTCGCCAGGGGTAAAGACCGAGTCTTCCTGGGGAAATCATTGACTCAACCAGATCCATTTAGGTGAAGAAATGAGATAAGGACAAACAGATTTTCAACAAATTCGCCTCACTCAGTATATGGTTTTGTTGTTTATGACTACATTGAATAACCCTCTTACCCCACCAGTTTTGCTGAATGTTATTATTGATAATTAATGAGGCTGATTATTACTTATTCAGTACTTTTGCTTTGTATAATTAGGCTTGAATATCAAACTGAGTGCCCTTTCCTAAAACTAAGCAAAGCTGCTAACAACCTCCCACACTTGTTGAACACCTAGTCCTTAGTTATACTGTAACTAAAAAGAAGACAATGATACTTACATTTTGCATACTATAGCAACAAGCAGGAAT